CTGGAGGGGGGGCACCATAGCTCTGTAATACTTCCTCTAGTGGGGAGTGTCAGCAAGTGACCATGGTAACAGTTATAGTTTTGGGTGCTCCAGATAACTGGGTCCTCTGCTCTGGACTACCTGTGGCCATACCTTTCAAGTGTTCATTTTGTTCCTCTTGGTAGCACCCAAGTGGGATCTGCAGTTTCTGGAGAGATCTTGCCCAGTTCATCCTGCAGTGTGACCTCTCACTTTCTTTGTACGGTTTCTGCACCTTCCCTTGGTGCCCTAGACCCTCCCACCCATCCCCTGCACCTGGCACACAAAGCTTGTTTGGAGTCAGACTGTCCTGGGTCTAGCAGCTGGCTCTGCCTGTTGGCTACTAGGACCTTGGGGGAAGTCCCTAGTTCAGCCCTAGTTTGGTTATTTGTCATGCAGGAGTACTAACACCTGCCTCAAAGCCCCCAAACCCAACACCTGCCTCCCAGCACCATAAGGCTCATTGACATGCTAAGTGCCTGTCTAGAGCCAGCCCAGCAAACTGGCAGTAAACACCCAACTGGCTTTCACCCAGAACTCCTCTAAGTCTGCTGCTAGACTCTGGCTTCAGGTTTTCACGCCACCCTGATATCTGCTTGATTCCTCCCTCCTGACCCAATCTAAACCAAGCACCTGCTCTCCCAAGGTTCCCTCTGCCTGCCTGGCCCAGGGAAGTACCTACTGACACCCACATGGATCTTGTCTGCCAAAGTGAGGTCATTCGTTCTGTTACCAATAGAAAAGTATAGGCCTAGGGTACACTCCTGCAATCCCAGCACTCAGAAGGCTGAGGCAGAAACATGCCAAATTCTAGACCAGCTTGGGCTACATAGTAAGAGTCTATCTTCTTTTTGAGTTCTGGGATTAAAGATGTGCACTACCACACCCATCCTTACCTTTAAAAAAAAAAAAATTATGCCAGACATGGTGGTGCACGCCTTTTATCCCAGCACTCAGGAGGCAGAGGCAGGCAGATCTCTGTGAGTTCAAGGCCAGCATTGTTTACACAGTGAGTTCCAGGACAGCTGGGGCTACAGGGAGACCCTGTCTCAAAAAGACCAAAAAAAAAAAAAAGTTATTATTTTTATTTTATGTGTATGAGTCTATTGCTTGCATGTATGTAAGTGCACCTGTGTCGTGCGATGGCTGTAAAGGTCAGAAGAGGGTGTCAAATTCCCCTGGAGTTGTTAGCTACTATGTGGGTGTTTGGAATCAAACCAGGACCCTCTGCAAAGAGCAGCCAGTGTTCTTAACTGCTGAGCCATTTCTCTAGCCTAGTCCTTACCATTTTATAAAAGAAAATAAAAAGCAACATAAAAACACATGTAGCTACACATGTAGCTTCTGCTGTTGAAAGTTTCTAACTGAATGGGTTTCCAGTAGGCTGTTTATAAGAAGCCAGGCCTGTTACACACCAAGTTTACAAAGATACAATCCTTGAATTTGAGAAATGCTTAAACTAGGCTTTTTTTTTTTTTTTTCAAAACAAGGTTTCATGTATTTCAGGTTGGCCTCGAATTTGCTATGGAGCCAAAGATGTTTTGAACTTCTGATCTTCCCTCTACCTCCCCAGTGCTAGGATTCTAGGAGTGTACCCCAGGCCTGTGCCACCATGGCTAGTTTATTCAGTGCCAGGAATCAAACCCAGGGCCTCATGCATGTTAGACAAGCACCCTACCAACTGAACTACACCCCCAGTTCCAAAGTAGATATTTAAATAGAAAAAAGTCCATTCTTGGAGTCAGATAGACTTGATTTAAGTTGCAGGTTTGGGGGCTCGGGAAATGCTTGCTGTATAAGCATGAGGACTTGAGTTCAAATCCCTAGAACCCACTTAAAAAGCTAGGCATGACCACATGTGTGCTTATAACCCCAGTATGAGCAGGGAGGATATGTGTGGGGGACACAAGAGGATCACTGGGGTTCTGGCAGCCTAGCTTTGAGTCCAGGGAGAGACCCTGTCTCAGGGGAAGGAGGTTGAGAGTGACAGTGGGCATGCAACGTCTTCTGGCCTCCACATGCTTGCTTGGTGCACCCCCCCCATGTACATACATACCACTCGCACACATGCGCAGACACAGAGGAATAAAGAAATAAATAATTTTCAGCTTTGACATTTACCACTAAACTTCAGGCAAGTTATTTTCCTTTTTCTTGCTTTGGTTTCCCCATCTTTTTTTTGTTTTTGGTCTTTTTGAGACAGGGTCCCCATAGCCCCAGCTGTCCTGGAACTCACTATGTAGACCAGGCTGGCCTTGAACTCAGAGATCCACCTGCCTCTGCCTCCCAAGTGCTGGGATTAAAAGCGTGCGCCACCACACCCGGCAGTTTCCCCATCTTTAAGTTAAAAAAATTTTATTTATTGTGTGTGATATGTGTGTACTGTGTATGTGTGTATGTGATGTGCGTATGTGTAAGCTCAAAGTGTGTGAATACAGGCATGTGGGCCACAGTACGCATGTGGAGGTCCAAGGACACCTTTCAGGAGCTGATTCTCTCCTTCCCCTGTGGGCTCTGCGATGGAGCTCAGATCTTCAGGCTTTATGTGGCTGCTGCTTTTACCCAGTGAGCCATCTTGCTGGCACTCACCATCTTGAAAGCGGGGATCCCAGTCAGGTGTGGCGGCTCACATCTACAGTCTAGCACTTGAGAGGCTAAAGCAGATTGGCTGTGAATTCCAGGCCGGCCTGGGCTTTGGAATGTGACCTTGTCTCAAAAAAACGAAACTACAATGACAAAAACTCTAGACATTGAGGCAGATCTGTAATCCCAGCACTAGGGAGGCGGAGGCAGGAGGATCACTATGAGTTTGAGGTCAGCCTGAGTTACATAGACAGCTGGGGTTAAAATGAGAGAACTTGTTTCAAAATAAACAAGCTAACAGACCCAAACTGTGGGAGCTGGTGTGGTGGTTCACAGCTATAATCCTGGCACTCAGGAAGGTTGAGTTTAAGTTAAAGGTCAGCCTACGTAGGAGGTTCCGAGCCGAGCCCTCTTGGGCTATATAAGTCAGTTCATCCATCCATCCAGGTCCTAGTAGGACACAATGGGGTCCACTACCAGGGTTGTTAGGCCTATAGGGCTGGGGGGCGGGGCTAGAATGTTCCAGAAAATGCTGAGCATTGCTGGGTCTTGGAAATCCCTGGGCTGAATGCACTGATGGGTGACCATATTTTCTGTATAGTGGTACCTTTTTCTCCTGGTTTTAGATTTCATTCAAGCATCTTCGCCCATCCCATTCTCTGTTTTCCTTTTTTTTTTTTTTTCTTTTTGAGCCCTCCTTGTAGCCCCAGCTGTCCTGGAACTCACTATGTAGACCAGGATGGCCTTGAACTCACAGAGATACACCTGCCTCTGCCTCATGAGCACTGGGATTAAAGATGTGTGCCACCATGCCTGGCTATTTTTTTATTCTTATGTGTATGAGTATATTACCTGCAAGTATGTAAATGTACCCATGTTATGCAATGTCTGCGGAGGTCAGAAGAGGGCGTCAGATCCCCTGGAACTAGAGTTAAAGACAGTTGTTAGCCACCATGTGGGTGCTGGTAACTGAACCCAGGTCCTGTGCAAGAGTAGCCAGTGCTTAACCACTGAGCGGTCTCTCCAGCCCCTCCATGAGTCTTAACTCTTTTCATTGGCTGGGCTAGGAAGAACAGATTTGCTGGGTCCCTCCCACAAATTTGAGATCTAATTCTAGGCTAACTTGCTGTGTGATCTTAGACATTTTGCTTTCTCTCTCTGGGTCTGTTTCCTTTTCATACAATGAAAAGGGTGTGTGAGTTTTTTCTGACCCCTCCAGTGCTAAGGATGTGTCAGTTTCTTCTGGGGATTGTTAGTCCACAGGAACTTCTCTCCTAAGCAGAGGGGTGGTCACCATGACCTCCACCCCTTGGTGGCCTGTCCTTATTCTGCTCCTGGTTTAGAAATGCTTGATGTTTTATGTTTGGGGGTATTTTTAACTTTTTGATGGAAAAACAAGAAAATATGTTGAAATCTGGAGCATTCTACCCCTTGTGTGTCAAGGTCCCGAGTAGGGTCCCTCAGGCCCACATCTTCAGACAGGGCCTGGCCTCTGGGCCCAGCTCAGCTTTGATTCTGTGCCTTCCCTTGCTTCAGGGATTTCTGTGGAAAGGCAGTTCCCCAGATGGGAGTGGCCTGGGGAAGGCCGGTCTTGCCCGTCTTCCACAGGGTGTGCTCTGCCTGTCACAGGCATGAGTCAACGCTATGCTACCAGGCAAGGTCGAGGAGGTAATAGTGCTTATTGTGTGCGTTCTTCCAGTTTTTTCTTCTTGTGTTTGTATTGTAATAAATATGTAATATACGATAATGTAAAATTTAAAAGAAACTTTAGATCACAGCACAGGTCTTTCTCTTGTTTTTACACATTATATCACATCTTCAATATTTTTCTGAAGTATATATTTTGAAGTTTTATTTTTTTGCTTGTTTTTGAAAAAGGGTCTCACTGTGTAGCCTTAGCTGATTGGAACTCATTATGTAGATCAGGCTGGCCTTGAACTCACAGAGATCTACTTCTGCCTCCTGAGTGCTGGGATAAAGGCATGGGTCACTACACTGGACCACTGAAGTTTTATTTTTAATTGATGCATAACAATTGGACACATTTAATGGGTACAATGTCACGTTTTGATACCTACACACATTGTGTAACTGGGAAATGTATTTCCAGGCTATATTGTACTGTATCATCAGCATAGCTAGTCCCCCAAGGGCTGGAGAATTGCGTGTTTCCCAGGGTTCTGCTTTTGGAACAAACATTGCATATTATGTTGACTTACATTTTATTTGTTGACCGGGTCTCTCTCTGTCCTGGTCTCGAACTTGAGGCAGTTCTTCAGCCTCAGTTTCCTGAGCGTTAGGGCTACAGGCCTGTACCCCCACACCCAGATGACCTGTGTCTTATCTCTGGAGCCCATCTGACCGTGCCTGAATCACTAATGATCTTCCTTCTCCTCCAGATACCAGGAGCACTCCGAGGACCCCCACGGAGGTGAGCCTGGGCAGCTGCGGGTTGTCACTGGGAACGTGCGCTGGTTTCTTTGCGAAATGGGTCTTCCCAGAGCTGCCCGCAGTTCCGCAGACACCCCTGCCGGCTTAGCCCGAGACTGATTCTGTTTATCCGAGACCCTCCCCAGTGGGCGCCTGGCATCAAAAACTGCTGGAAAGAGGATTACCTCCGAAGCTGCTTAACAAATTCCTTGACTAATCCAATTTCCCACCCACTGTACCTCCTGGCCTGGTCTTTTATTCCCTTGATGCAAAACTGGAGCCTTAGTTCCTCAAGGACTAGAAACGCAGGGAAGATACTGCGCCAGAGCCGCAAGCATGGTTCTCCCACGGATGTTCTAGAAGGGCTGTCCTGGAGGAGGGAGGCGGGAACTGTTCTTTGGGGGCTGCCCAGTGCCTTCAGGGGCAGAGACAGGTGAGTCTGTGAGCCACACACAAGTCTTCTGGGAACTGACCCTGGCTGAGGACTGGCCTCCTACTTAACTCTGAGATACTCAGCTTAAGGTCCAGAGAGAGCACTTAAGCAACCTGTACTCAAAAAATCTGTTCCAGTCACATAGCTGATGACGGGACCAGGATGCCAGGACAGGCCTTCCCAGGTGGCTCCCACTGGGTCTAGCCACAGAGGCCACAGGCCATTGTTGTCGCTCACCTGGAGTAGGAAAAGTGAGGGCATAAACATACAAACCAGTGTTGATGGCCAGGCACCTAGAGGCCCTGGACACATTAAGGAGCCAGTGGGTGGGTGTGGCAGGCTCTAGGGGAGGGCCTGCAGAAGTGGGTGTGAAAGGTGACAACTGATGGTGTCTTCTCTCTCCTAGCCCCCTGATGAAGAAGACTATGACGAGGATCTCTACAGAATTTCTACAGGAACAACAGAGACCCCCGGTGAGCCCTGGTGTTGGGTATTCGGGCCTGTAGAAAAATCTTACATGGGCACTTAGCAGAGAATCCAAGGCAAAAAACAGTCTTTCATTGTGGTGCTGGGGGTTGGATTTAGGCTCTCACACATGCTATGTAAACCCCCTACCACTGAGCTACAGCACCAGCTCATCTTCCATTACTTTATATGCCCATTTGATGCTGTTTGCTAAGACACAATGAGGACGATGAGAAAAGTGGGCCGGGTCAGTGAACTACTGTGCAGTGAGCACACAGTGTGAGTAGGCTACAAATGCAGTTGGTGGCTTGTGAAGTGGAGGACATATTGAGGGAAACCTCTGTTTTGGAAATCATGGGCCTTGATTGAGTAGCCGCTCTTGCCCAGCTTGGAGTGTGGCCTTTTTTCCAGTTGGGTTCCAAAGGCCCACTGGGGACTGGTGGGAAGAGCATTCTGGGAGAAGCGGGCGATGTGTGCAGAACCCTGCAAAAGAGAGGTCATAACCTATTGGGGAACTTGAGTGCTGAGTGGGATGGACAGGAGAGGGATGATATCCCAGCAGAGGAACTGCTTCCAGATACTTAATTGAAAGCCCCTGTGTCATCCTGACATGGCCCTAAGTGGAGCTGTAACCATGGAGTCTCCAGGGCCTTATGCCTCTTGTGTGCCCTCTGCCTTGTGGGAAGCAAAGGGCACCAGGAAAGCCACCCAGAGTGAAACTCATGGGCTGACTTTCTTTTCCTTCTCTCTCTCCCTCCCTCCTCTCCCTTCTTTGGTACTTCCCCTCCCTCCCTCCCTTCCTTCCTCCCCGACCCCACAGGTCAAGAATCTTCCTCCGCATCACTGGCCACATTCTTGGTGGCTGGAGGAAGTCTGGCCTTTGGATTGCTCCTTTGTGTTGGTGTTGTTCTGAGGTAAGATGGGTCCTGGGGTGGCTTTGTGTTGTGCACGTGTATCTTAGCCATCCTTCCTCTGTCTGTTTGGTCATCAAAACCTATACTACTTTTGCTCATTCATTTCTTCATTCAACACATGAGCACATACAACACATATGGTGCCCACCACTGCACTGAGTTCTGTGGCAGGTGCTGCAGGAGACCTGGGGATGGGACAGGAGCTGTCTAGTGAGGAAGCCAGTCCCGACAATTGCTGATGTAGCAGGAGCTCCAATCGCACAACATGGTAAGGAAGACCCACCCAACATTAAGGAGGAAGGGAGTACATTGGCCAAGCGCTCTGTGTGCTAGCTGCTAGCTCCTGGGGTCCTTACAGTGGCCCTGAGCTGGCTTGACAGCAAACAAAGCAAAGAGTCAACAGGCTGTGCTCAGCTCAGGGCTGTTCTTGCTTTGACCCCTCCCTCCTTTCCTTTTTATCAGTGCTGAGGTTCGAACCCATGGCTAGGCAAAGGCTCTGCCATTGATCTACATCCCCAGCCTGTGATTGTGATTTTCCAATGAGGGTTCCTTGGAAGAAGTGAAGCTTGTTGTACTTTTGGGCCAAATAGGAACCACAGTAATATTTGGGGGCTGCCTCCTGCCTCCTCGGGGATTCCTCATCTCACCACAGGCACAAACTCAAGTGTTCTGCTTCTATCTCTTCATTCGTGTGTGTGTGTGTGTGTGTGTGTGTGTGTGTGTGTGTGTGTGTGTGTGGTATGTGCTGCTGAAATGAGCTCCATTTTTGTGTTCTTCCTAACAGCCTTTTGCATAATCTACCGGGGATCTGTAACAATGATACCATGACATAATTTCTGGCTGGCGATGAGGAAAATAAACCTGAAAGAGGTGGTGTGATCACACCTAGTCAGGGGAGGTCGGGAGTCACACCCAGAGCCCGTGTGCTTTAGATGGTGCTGTAAGGTCAGGTCATGTATAAAATGATCCTTAATTGACCAATGAGGAAATAGCTCCAAAGGGTAGAATCACTTGCCCAAAGCCCAGCAAGAGCTAGGGCTTGCACACATCTCTGAGAGCTCTTGCCCATGCCACAAGTCAGCTTTGGCTAAGGTAGCCAAGCTGGTCCTACCCAGACACTTACCGTAGGGGGTCAATGGCTAATACAGAAGCATTAACATTAAGTTTGCTCACTGCTGATGATGCTCAGTTACTCGCTGGTGCCTATAGAATACCTATAAGCACAGACAGAGGAAGTACCCTGTGCTAAGAACATATCAGCAGTTTCTTTTCTAGCCTGGTAAGTTTCTATTTCCTCTATATAAGGCAGTTTATTTGGAAAGAGACTAGTTTGTTTTTGTTTGTTTTAGTTAGGCAGTTTCATTTCTTGGGATGGGATCTTACTGTGAGGCAAAGGCTGCCCTAGAACTCATTATGGAGCCCAGGGTACTCTCAAGCGCCCCAATCCTGCTGTCTGTGCTTCACAGCTGCTGTAATTATAGGCTATGTGCCACGGTATGCCTGACGAGAGCAGTTATTTCAAATGATGGAAACCCCCTCTATTTCCTTAATCCTCCCTGTCAAGAAAAACGTATTAGGGGCTGGAGAGATGGCTCAGTGCTTAAGAGCGCTCGCTGCTCTTGTAGAGGACCTGGGTTCGATTCGATTTCCAGCATCCACATGGCAGCTAACAACTGTCTGTAATGCCAGTTTCAGGAGAATCCAAAACCCTCTTCTCCTTGGGCATTGCAAGACACAGGTGCACTTACACACATGCAAGGCAATACATTCATACATATAATATATATATATATATATGTATATGAAAAGGATATTAACTGAGAGACACTGGGAGTTAACAGTTGTCTGAGCTACAGTGACCACTGGGATGGCCAGGTATGGGAGGAGACAGCTTGATGTTCATTTTGCCAGGCGGGATGCCATCATTTTCTTTTTAGTACATTTAGTTTGTGACCCAAGCAAAGTATTTTTCCAGAAATGTTAGTGATAATTAAAAAAAAATTAAAATATGATGACAAAGCTCTGCCCTTTCTTATGTGGAGATTATAATCCTTAGAAGCCAGTTCTCCAGAAAAATAGAATTCTCCTGACAGAGAATTGTTTTTCTCCACATTCACCTAGAGTGAACTTCTGTGTGCACCTACGACTTCAGACTCATTTATAAAAACCAAGTGTGGTGGTGCATGCCCATAATCCTCCAACTCTGGACGCTGAGACAGGAGGATTGTAAATTCTAGGCCAGCTGCCAGCTAGGCCAAGGCCCCCACTCACACTTGCCCATGCTAGGTATAAACATCTCCAGCCATGGCTGGCTGGCCTTAAAGGCCTGAGCTTGGTGATTTTCGGAGTTTTATTCTTTCCTCAAAATATTTCTAAAAGAAAGCTTGCTTTTCTTTTGTATCCTTCTAGTTGCTTTGAAAAAACATACAAAAAATCCAAAAACCTGACAGCAGAGGTTGTTTCTATACTGATTTTAAAAAGTTAATAGGGGCGGGGTATGGTGGTGCACGCCTTTAATCCCAGCACTCGGGAGGCAGAGGCAGGTGGATCTCTGGGAGTTCAAGGCCAGCCTGGTCTACATAATGAGTTCCAGGACAGCTGGGGCTACAGGGAGACCCTGTCTCAAAAAGACCGAAAAAAAAAAAAAAAGTTGATAGCAGTTGTACAGTATTACAGATAACCTGCTAAATACTGACAACTAGAAAAGAAAAACATAGCCAGCCACTGTAAATTTTGGAAATGTGTGATTGGAGTCTGACAAACACAAAGGACTGCTATCACAGAGCACAGTGCTGTTCACAAAGCAGCACAGTCATCAAGAACACTTAATATTTAGATGAATTGCCTCTGGGTTCCTTTCTAAAAAAATTTAGTTTAATTTAGTCTTTTTGAGACAGGGTCTCTCTGTAGCCCCAGCTGTCCTGGGGGTGACTATGTAGACCAGGCTGGCCTTGAACTCACAGACATCCGCCTGCCTCTGCCCCCGGAGTGCTGGGATTGAAGGTGTTGCCTGGCCTCCTTTCTTTCTTTCTTTCTTTTTTTTTTTTAAAGGCAGGGTCTCAGGTATCCCATGTTGGCCTCAAACTTATGATGTAACAGATCTTGACTTCTGACCCTCCTGCCTCCCTATCCCCAATGCTGGTGTTACAGATCTCTGCTACCACACCCAGTTTAATTCAGTAGGGGGTCAAACCCAGGGTTTTCACGAATCCTACACAAGGCCTGTACTGCATACTGCATCCACTGAGCTGCATCCCCAGTCCCTCTGCATAATTTTTGTTTGTTTGCTTTATTTGTTTTTTGAGACAGGGTCTCTCTATAGCCCCAAATGGTCTGTAACTCACTATGTAGACTAGGGTGGTCTCCATCTCACAGAGATCCACTTGCTTCTGCCTCCCGAGTGCTGGGATTAAAGGCGTGCACCACCATGCCGGGCTACCCTTTTTGTCTGCTGTTACTAGCCATGATTGTTTTGTATATACAACTCTAAATCTTACCTTTCAAATTTAACATTATAACATAAAGTTAAAAAAAAAAAACTTTTTCACATTCTTTGTAAACTTCACATTTATAAGTCCTGTAGAGACATACACCCAAGCTCACTAAACTAGCCTCCTGGTCTACTATTATTGGGTGTTGTTTGCCTCCCCCCACTTCATACTTCCTCTTCCTCCTCCTCCTCCTCCTCCTCCTCCTCCTCCTCCTCCATCACCTCAGTTTAATAATCCAGTAAATGACAAAAAAGACAAACAATGAAAGTAGCATCATATAGCACAAAATGTTGTTTGGCCCTCTTTGGACAAGATCTTCAGTCTTCCTGTGGTTTTACCTAGAAATCCAGAAATGCCAGGGGAGGGAAAGGGGGGTGAGGAAAGAGTGGGTAGGAAAGGGCCAGCATCAGGTGACCTCGGCTTCGGCCCCAGACCTGCAGAGGACCAACTGCTCTCACCAAATCAGCCTGTTTTGCTTTATAAACAACACCATGTTGAATATCATTGTGCGTGAAATCTTCCATGGCTATTTTTTTTAGGGTATAGTCTCAGAACGGGACTTCTTGGGTCGGAGGGTCCGAATATTTTGTAATCCATGGTGTAGGCATGTGTCCTCAGCCTTCCCCCCAGGGGAGATTTCAGTCAAGAACTCAGCATTAACGCCCTTAAGCACCCTTGCTGGACTCTTCCTGTGTGGTGTCCAAACAGTAAGGCAGATTTTTTTTTTTCTTCCATTTGGATAACAGGCCAGGAGCCAATGGCAGCTTTGGAGCTGACTATCAATTATTTATCATAACAAGAACAGGAATAGCCTGCTGATATAAAAAGAAACCCAAAGAAAATGTCCAATTCTTGTTTTTGACATTGATTCCCTGTCTTCCCTCACAGCCCTTCCTTGAGAAACTGGTATTTGATGGAATTGAAATGTGCATGTGGATGGGAGGTCATCCTGCTCCCATTTTGTAGTGTTAGGCAGTAAATTAGCCACAGAGAAAGGAGCCAGAGGGGGTAGATGAGGCCCTGGTCCTGCGTGTCTCACAAAGGGCCCCTCGGGAAGAAGTCTTCACTGTACCTTTGCAGATCCATATCTCTAGTTTAGCTTTCTTCACTGTCAGGTGATTTTTCTTGGTTACTGAGCCTGGCCTTGGGCCCAGATGGAGCTCTGTGAACAAGGCTGTGATCAGAGAGATGCCTATCTCCTTCCTGTTTAACGTGACTTTCCTGTCAAATGAATCAACTAACGCCCAGTGGTGCCCACCTCAGAGCGGGCCAGCTCTCTCTGCTGGGTGGCAGTGGGTGGAGTTGTGAGGAGGGCAGGGACACTGAATGAAGAGGACAGAGAGTGCTGCTGAGGGGACCCTGCAGCCCATTCTCTGCTATTAAATGCAGCTCTGAATGATCTGCCTCCTACCAGCCTTAATTTGATCAAGGTCCATTTTCCTTCCCTACAGAAACATTATTCTTGTCTCTTTTTTAAGTAAATGGATTGGAACTGATGATGTGTGCCTAATGGGCAGCCTCTGGAACAAGATAGATTAAGGCACTGACTGTTAAGTGACTTTTGGGGTTAGGAACATTCAAATTTGCCTTAGCCTCTCCCTTTGTAACACTGGGCCAGTGAAATATGTTTTTGAAACTCACTAGCTCTCTAGAGTATTCTGGAACCTTGGGTAATGAGATGGTGGAATGAATAGTTGTCACTCCTGTGAGCCAGTCTGGGAGCACCAGGTGACCAGGAAAGCCAGCTGGCACTGTTTTTCACTATGGCCTCAGCCCAGAGGGGTAGCTAACATCTATGTGGTTTGTCTTTGTGTGTTTGTATGAAGGCTCAAGAAGACATGGAAGGCACAGGCTGGAAAAGAATGCAAGACAAACTCACCCCCACCATACTCCCCGGGACAGCTGAAGCCCACTGTGGTGCTTGTTCCACTCCTCACCCAAGCAGCGCCCCCCCGCAGCAGCAACACCTTGAGCCACAACTGCCCAGATGCCGGGGAACCACAGAGCCCTTACGACATCAGCAACAGAGACTACTTCTTCCCCAGATAACTGTCAGGGTGGTGCCTGGTGGCTAGGTGTCAGCTTTGCGACTGTGGGTATCAGCACAGCACCAGGAGACTCAGCACATACTTCTCACTGCCGTTCCAGTTCATCTCAGGGCCGGGGCCTTTAGCCTCACTATTCCACAAGAGCCTGCAGAAGGTTCTCAGTGGGGAGACCAGTTTGCTGCATCTGCTCTGAAGGAAGAGGTGGTTGCATTTTCAAACTTCCTTTCCAAATGGACTGCTTACAGGGGTCATCAAGACCTCAGGTCACCATGAAGAGAGCCTGTAGTGACTCTGTATAGAGGAGGTGCTTGTCACCCACACAGCTGATGCATGTTCATTAGCTCTCCTCTCAGGAGGATGGCCTCAGGTAGGGGTACCAAAGGCTGCCCTAATTACCTGGCATCTGACTCACTGCCTCCTCCCATCTTCTAGCTCGAACTCTTAAAACCCAAGTGCCTTTGCCATTCTGTTTTTCTAGATATTTTGTACCCATAAAGGCTGGGGAGAAAAGCTCTTTCCAGCTTTTCTTCTGCACACTTGGCCCAGTCCTGGTGAATAATATCTCAGGGCCTGATGGTTTTAAGTAGAATGTTAATTAGTTCCTCATTAGCATTTTGTAAATGTGAATGATAATGCTAGGCACTGCTGACTGTAGAAGTTGGATTTCCTTCTTTGATCTCAGGACTTCAAGAAGTAGGGGAGGGGGACAAGCATCCACCATCTCTGTCATTGCTGAGGGGTCACAGCCTCTGAAAAACAATGTTTTCTGCCTCCCATTCTAAAAAAGGAGGTTTTGTGGTAGCGAGAGAGGAGCTGGGAGCACAGGCTTTACTCCAGCCTTGCTGATTCTGGATTCAACTGGACCTGAGCCACTAGGAAAGATGATATTCACGCAAAAGGAAAATCTTAATCGGCAAGAATGTGCTTTAATTTAGCTTTTTCAAAAACTGCTGCCTGTTTTCTCTGGGATGCTGGAAGACTCTGTATTGACTGTGTGCTGATCTCTAAACCACTTGGGGGAAAGCTCAATAGCTTTGTTTGGCACAAAACTAAGTCAACTGAAAAAGGAGGAGAAAATACTGTCCTGTTGTAGAAAAGACTCTGACTTCATTGTACATTTTCTTTTTGTCTTAAAAAATGCAAAAATGGGCTGCCTGTACTATACTTCAGGGAATAAGCAAATAAGCAGCCCGCCACTGCTCCAGAGGCTGAGGAAGGAAAGGGTGTCCTGCTTCCTGTTGCGCCTCACTGCCTTAGGGTGGATTCCATCCTGCCCAAGCAGAAGCACTGGCCTCTGTGCCTCAGCTGACTTGCCCCTGGGGCTTTGAGAATTCAGTATGTTAGTGGTCACCCAGCTGACCACAGAGTGGCGCTGTGATTGAAATGAGTTGTGCAACCAGGAACCCCCAAATTTACCATATACAAACCTTTGCAACAGCTGGGTGTGGTGGCGCATACCTTTAATCTCAGCAGAGGCAGGTGGATCTCTCTGAGTTCAAGGCCAGCCTGGTCTACATAGTGAATTCCAGGCCAGCTGAGGCTGCAGGGAGACCCTGTCTCAAAAAGACAAAAAACAAAACAAAACAAAACAAAAAAAAAACCCACCACCACCACCAACAAAACTTTGCTAGTACTTTATCCTTTCAGAAAATACCACCCCCAGGAGACAGGTGGCAAAGGATCACTGTCCTGGCTGCTTGCTAGCTTCAAGGAAAATAGTGATTTTCATGTGGGCTTTGTATATTTCAAGGCCCTTGGCTGTCTTAGAAAAAAAAATGTTGTAAATTGACAAAAATCAGGGAGGTATTCATGATCTCTTCCCCACCCCCACTCTCGCTGTCTCTCCCTCCCTACCTTCTTTGTAAGGTTTCTGGGACTTGAGAGTAGCAAAGATGCTGTGAAAGGGAAATATTAGAGAGGACGATTTACGTGGGAAAGGTGACTCTACCCACGCTTCTTCAGTTCTCATGGTTTTGCCCACATGTTGTTACCAAAGCCAGGCGGCTGGTGGAAGAGGTAAAATCCAGATCGCTCATTATCTCTGAGAGCTAGGCAGCTTTGATCTCTTAGGTTGTTATTACTTTCATTATTATTATAACGGAATCTCCTCTCTCTCTCTCTCTCTCTCTCTCTCTCTCTCTCTCTCTCCCCCCTCTCTCAAGGATGCTTTCTCCCTTAACTTTTTATAAGCTGATGCTAATGAAGGGAAAGTCTTCATTTCCTCTGGGCTCTGGCTTTGCTCAGTGCACATGGATATACACCCTCAGCTTCCTCCCACCTCATATCTGTGCCAGCTCAGTGCACGTCTCCATCCATGTGTCGTTCTTACTGGAGTTTCTACAGCCACAGACTGTCTTGCCAACAGCACCATCACTCAACATCTGTAGTCAGCAACTATGTGGCCAGATGTAAAGTGTTTAGACAGAGATAGTTTAAACATAACCTTTCCGGCAGAGTAGGAAAAGTCGAAGACATGCTGAATCTAGTTCTGAAGTGATCGTGAATTCTTATGGCATTAATAAACGGTTTTAAACATTTGCTTCATTGGCAGTGCACACAAGGCCTTGCCCCTGCAGTTTGTCACCAGGCCCTACGCTCACACTGAGTCTCTGCCATGTCTCTGCTGTCCTGGGGGATGGGTAGAAGAAACTACTGGAGCTGGGTTGGAATCAAGTAGTGGGGAGCAGAGCCAAGCAGGGCAGGCTTGGGCTAGCCATGGTGTGCAGGTTTCAGGAATGCCCAGGCCACCTGGCTGCTTTGGTGCTGAGCTGTAGAGTTTCCTAGTAGTTCCTTATGGCTGACCTAGTTGGGGAGGAGTCCCACACCCAGCTGCAGGTGGAGGTAGAGAGAAATCCATCTTAATTTGGAAGGCAGCATCAGCCAGGATGTCTCTCCCTGTTGCAGCCTGAAGTGGGGCTGTGACTGGAGGAGGCAGGCCAGCTGGCTCGGTTCCTGAGCCAGGTGCTGGGGAGGGTCCACCAAAGATCCTGTTATCCTCCAGCCCTAGTGTGGTTGGGTGCCAGTTTCCATGGCAACATTAATGATTATTAAGGAACACTGTCAGTTTTATAAACACATGCTCAGATGAAGATCTGCTTTGCAAGGAAAGGACTGATATAGCCTGTAACAAGCTGTAATTAACAGAGAGACCTTGGGTAGAGATCACATCTGTTAAATAGAATACCTCAATGCTACACTCTTTTTTTTGGAAAAAATAATACTGTTAAGGTCTTTACCCTTGAGTTACCTGAAGGCAGACACCCAAGGCTGTATCTGTGTAGTCAGTGGGGTCTATTTTCAATGCCTTTTCTTCTTGCCACTTATTTGCATTCAAAGTGAAAATTATAAATATTTGAAATAAATAATTTCTAAAACTACACTTGAGATGTAATTTTACCTTGGGTACCTGGGTAATGTAAAGGAAAAGCTTGCATGACTAATGAGGAGAAAGGAGTGAGGCAGGATAGTAATTAAGTAGGACTACTTTTGAGGGGTTCTGCAATGATTAAAATATCTGAGCCAGGCATGGTGGCTCAGCCAGGTAATCCCAGCAATAGGGAGGCAGAAGCAGGAGGATTTCTGCCAGTTTGAAGCCAGGGTGGGTTACAGACAGAGTGCCACCCTGTTTCACTTTCACCAAAAAAGAAAGAAAAGAAGAAAGAAGGAAGGGAGGGAAGGAAGGAGGGAAGAAGGAAGGAAGGAAGGAGGAAGGAAGAAAGGGAGGAAGGAAGGAAGAAGGAAGGGAGGAGGGAAGGAAGGAGGAAGGAAAGAAGGAAGGAAAAGAAAGAAAAAGGAGAAGAAAGAGAAAAGAAAGTACCTTTGGACAAAAGATAAATTCACCAAGGAAGGAGCAATTTCTCAAAAGGCTTTAATTACAGTATTTCACCAGACAGGTGATGGACATGTGGGGAGGGGGAGCCCAGCCCATATTTAGTTGGCCAGGGCTTAGGAAGCCCACCCTGACCTGCTCATCATATGGCTGAATCTTTCCCTTACAGGAAAGGGTCTTGGGCAGGAAAAACTTGGGACCAAGTCACCTCTACTTCCCAAACAGTAGGAAAGCCATCCTGAGGATGCCTGGTAGACAGGAGCTGTTGTGTCAATGCTTGGGGCTGATGGCCAGGAATGCTGCAAATTCCTCAACTCGAAAGTGTTGGGTAGCGCTCTTTGGACGCGGCGATAAGGTCCTACAGCTCCCTTCCGACACACACGTTCTTCCTTTGAGGCTGGTCTTGCTTTGCAGAAAGCAACAGTGGAACCAGATGTCCTCTGTAGTGACTGGGCTGCGTGGGCCGTGGGGAGAGTGGGCCGCAGGGCCAGGAAATGGAGTGAGCAGCTTCCTGGTCTCTGCGCATCACTGTCAGGATGACACAGTTACTACGGTGAGCGCTCCAGAACCGGGGAGAGCAGATGGCAATTCTTGTCGAGGACGGTAAGGAACACTCAGTTACTGAAAATGTCTCGTAAGAAGCATCTTCTTTATTTTCTGAGGCTCCGGGAAAGCAATGCTGTCCGCAGACCCTTGGGAAGAGCAGGCTCAAACGCAGGGAACCCTTGCAGGCAGCCCTAGTGTGCTGCTGAGATCAGGACTGAGGGCTGGGTGGAGGCCAGGGTGGCAACACAAATTTAAGAAAATGGGCTGGGAATGCACCTCAGTTGGGACTACTGGTCTAACATGCATGAAATGCTGGGTCTGATCCCAGTATTGAATAAACTGGTGACGCACAGTAAAATAGACATTCTATGGGGGTGGGTATGAAGTTTTTTGGTAAGACCATGAAATGCTCACACTACAAGTGTGTAAAATGTTAAATCAACAGTGTACCAAGCCGGGAGTGGTGGTGCACACTTTTAAGTCCAGCAGAGGCAGAGGCAGGCAGATCTCTGTTGAGTTCCTGGTTTGTCTGGTCCACATAGGGAGGGGAGTTTTAGGCCAGATTGTGTTACCAAACCAAACCAAACCAAACCAAACAAGCAAACAAAAAAAGAATAAAGTTTAGAGCCAGGCATGGTGGCCCACACCTTTAATCCCAACACTCAGGAGACTGAGGCATTATACTATAGGCAGGGAGGTAACTAGTTAAAAGTTATGTAGCTTGAGCTACATAGCAATACTGTCTTGAAAATAAATAAGGGGGCTGGAGAGATGGCTCAGCGGTTAAGATCACTGGCTGCTCTTGCAGAGGACCTGGGTTTGATTCCCAGCACCCACATGGCAGCTAACACCATTCCTAACTCATAACTTTAGTTCCAGAGAAATCCAATGCCCTCTTATGACCTCCTCAGGCACTGTACAGCACAGGTGAACTTACACACATGCAGGCAATATACTCATACACATAAAATAAAATAATAAAGCATTTTAATAAATAAATATAAATAAAAAATATCAGGACAATTATGTTCTATTTTGGGTTTTTTTATTTTTATTTTTTATTTTATGTGTATGAGTATATTGCCTGCATGTGTGTAAGTTCACCTGTGCTGTACAGTGCCTGAGGAGGTCATAAGAGGGCATTGGATTTCTCTGGAACTAAAGTTATGAGTTAGGAATGGTGTTAGCTGCCATGTGGGTGCTGGGAATTGAACCCGGGTCCTCTGCAAGAGCAGTCAGTGCTCTTAACTGCAGAGCTATCTCTCCAGCCTCTATTTTGGTTTTTAAACTTATGGATTATTCAATAAGATTTTTATTTTGTTTTCCTTGTGAGGTATTGGGATCAAACCCAAAGTCTCAAGCCTACTAGTGCTTTATCACTGAGTTACATCAAAAAGTTATTTTTTATTTTTAATTAATTTATTTTTATTTTACGTGTATGAGTATATTGCCTGCATGTATGTGAGTGCACCCATGTCGTGTAATGCCTTGGAGGTCAGAAGAGGGCTTCAGGTTCCCCTGGAACTGGAGTTAAGGATGGCTCATAGCCACCATGTGGGTGCTGGGAATTGAACCCAGGTCCTCTGCAAGAGCAGTCAGTGCTCTTAACCGCTGAGCCATTTCTCCAGCCCGTATTTTTTAATTTTTGAGACAGGGTCTCCCTGGAGCCCCAGCTGACCTGGAACTCACTATGTAGACCAGGCTGACCTTGAACTCAGAGATCTGCCTGCCTCTGCCTCCCAAGTGCTGGGATCAAAGGCTAGAGCCACCACGCCTGGCTAAATAAGAGTGCTTTCGTGATAGAAACATTGAAGTGGGATTACCAGAGCCTGTGACCAGCAAGAGATGTAGGGAGATGCAAACCAGGGGAAGAAAGCCTCTTGCACACACCATATACATGTAGCATGTTTTCCTGCTGACCACAGTTGTGTCTCTGCAACAGGTTGTTAAGAGTCTTGTTCTTGGCTTTGCTTACAGAAACTAACATTTGCCAGACTTGATATGCATCTCAGAAAGTTAAAGTCTCCGGATGGCACTGCTGGAGATGGGGCTGGAGAGTGGTATGAACCACAGGCTTCCATGATGAGCTGGATACTGCAGGCACCATACTTCAGAACTTGGTGTGTCATGGATGATTCTCTGGGTGGGTCTAGCTACAGGGCAAGGCCAGACTCCATCTACAATCCTCAGAATTCTAGTGGCAGGTATGTCACTGTGTTTTCTGGTGGGCAGTCAGCTTGAAGAACTGTGTTGGTCCCCAGGGCTGAAGTAAGATTCTGCAGCAGTGTCACACCATGGGTGTTAATTAGGAAACAATATCTATGGGCAGCAAAAATCCTGTGCCACCAGTCTGCTTGTTAGCTAGAAGCCTACAGACTTTTGGGTAACAGTGACCTCTTAAAGTCAGTTAATGAGGGCAGGAGGTGTGGCTCAGTGCTAGATAGCTTTCCCAACCCACAAAGCCCTGGGTTCCATTCCCATCCCCACGAAATAAATACACAGAGTTAGCTAATAATAATGACTGCTATATACCAACTCCTCCCTGTGTACTTTATAAACAAAATATTCTGCTCAGCTTAAGGATGCTTCAGGGTAAACACTTTTACCTACTTAAAGGCAAGGCAGCGGAGGTTCACACAGGTGAAGCATGTCCAGGATACTTAGGCTAGTTCAGAGGCTGAGCTAGACCCTAGGCAGATACTGTTTCCTTGCCCCCGCAGCTACTGATGACTGACTCTCACGATGGGCCTATTCCCCAGGCCAGGTGCTCTCCTATCCTGCAGTGGTGGAACACCCCCCAACCCCTGGCCCCGTACTCATTCACCAAGGGTCACTGGGTCTTCATTTGGTTTGTCACATATGCTTGTGATCAGAGACTGACAGCTAAGCCCATGGAGATCTGGTTACACAACTAAAAGCTGGTCCAATGGCTCTCATGGGGTCACTTTGAGAAAACCAGAGCACAAAGACAGGTCACAGAGGGAAGGGGCAGAAACCAGTTCCTTGAACTTAATACTTGTACCAGGGGGCCAGATCAAAGCACTTCTCTCTCCCTGTCCACACCCTGTTTTTCTTCAGGTGCTTCCATTGCATACTTTAGTGATCTTCCTCAAAACCCTCACATGGCTCCTGTCAAGCTGGTGTCAGAGGAAGTCAGGAAGCCCAGGGGATCAACCTGAAAGCTTGCGCTGAACCTCATTCAACCAGGAGAAGCCAGAATTATTGATTCTGAAAATTTTGAACAACTTCTTCAAGGAGAAGGTTAAAGTCAATGGAAAACCCAGAAATTTCAGAATCATTCACATTGTACACTCTGGGAATAAAATCACAGTTTCTGAGAAAGAGCTCTCTAAAGTATTTGAAATATCTTACCAAGAAGTACTTTAAGAAGAATCTTCATGACTAGCTTCCTGTGTGTGTCTGATGTTTCTTTTAGATTAGTCTAGATGAAAATAGACCAAAGTCTGAGGACTAACTGAGCTTCCCTCATGGGCCTTTTGTTTTTGTGTTTTGAGTCAGGATCTCAATTCGTAGCCCAGGCTAGCATCAAATTCAAAATCTTCCTGCCTCAGTCTATTGGCCCACTGCTGGAATTACAGAAGTATATCACCATACCCAATTTCTTTTAATAAAAACTAGTGTTCGGCTTTTTGGGCTTTCCCTCTCAGCTCACTAACCCACTTCTACTCTTGGGAGTGTCCCCCCCAATCTATTTCTGTCTCTACCCATATGTCCTTGGAACAGTCCTTTGTCCTGGGACACAAGCATCTGGAATGGTGCTGTCTGAATGCAGACATGCCGCCCAGAACTGAGCATGCTTTCCCGTTTTCTTCTCTTTCTCTCTTTTCTGGATACTGGCAAAATCCTAAGGCTGCTTTCCTTGATGCTCTCTGGGTTTTCTCACTGGTTCTTGAGCTTCATGCCTAACTTAAAAGGCTACTTACTCTCCATCTCCCTCCAGGCAACTGCCAAAGTTTTTAGCTTATCTGCCCTGTGATTTTTCAATCGAATTACAATAAAATTGTTCTCGAACATCAACCAAAAAACAAAACAGAACTAAAAAACTAACTGCCCCCCCAACCAAGTTCCTTAAACTTAACGTTTGTTTCTTCTTCTTCTGAGCCCAAGTGTCCAGTGCCCCAGGCTGGCCTCCAACTTGCTCTGCAGCCAGCGCCCTCTCTTACCCTCACTGCCAATGCCCGGATCTCTGCTGTGTGCACCACCACACCCAGCTGTTTAGTTTAGTTTTGAGATAAGGTTTCACTATGCAGACCAGGTGTGCAACCACATGCCTGGCTAAACTTATGCTTTTAATACAACAAATAGAGCATATATGAGAAAGAAATTGACTTACAACTTCTCAGGCAATAGAAATCATTGTGCCTTTCTTTAGTTTGAGTCCTGACTCACCTGGAACTGAATATGTAGAACAGGCTGGACTTGAACTTACATTTATTCTCCTGCCTGTCTTCTGGGTGTGGGGACTTACAGGTATGTACCCCTATTCTGGGCTAAAAATCACTGCACTATTTAAAAATCCTCAAACTCTGTTTTATTGACAGAATGTGAACCTTATAACCTGCACCCCTCTGGAGAGTGACCGGTTCCGCCCTGTGGGCAATAGGAAGATCTTTTCTAAATCCTCTGTTGGAGTACTGGGGCTGGATGTAAGGCCCAGAGTGCTCTCCTCAGAGTTTGCAGCGTCTTGGGAAGGCACAATATGACCTGGCTAGGTTGTCTCTGGCCTCTAAGCAGAAGCTGACAGTGGCTGTGCAGCTCCTCCTGTGGGTGGGGTGGGGAAGCACCTGTCTTGGAGTGAATGACTTTGAGCACTTCTAAATAGTCTAAGAACATCGGGAAGTCAAGGAAGATTTGTGCTTTCTTTCTCTCTTTACGCATATTGACATGTGTTTTCATTAGCATTATTGTTTTACAGTGAAAGAAAACTTTTCATCAACTAACCATAATCCCTATGTTGGAACAGGCAGTGAGACTCTACTGTCTATGAACAGTTGCATATTAAGGTCAAGTAGAGTAGTACGTACCTGTGGTTCCAGAAACTTGGGAGGATGAGGCAAAAAGATCACTTGAACCAGGTGTTCAAGGTTAACCCATGCAATACAAGATGCTGTCCTTGAAAGAAAGTGCTCACTTGACAGCACATATACTAACATTGGAAGAACCACAGAGAAAATTAGCATGAACCTTGTGCAAGGATGACATGCACATTTGCAAAACATTCCATATATTTTTTAATATTTTATTATTTTTATTTTATGTGTATGAATGTATTGCCTGCATGCATGTGAGTGCACCTGTGTTGTGCAATGCTGCAGAGGTCAGAAGAGGGCATTGGATTCCCCTGGAACTGGAGTTAAGGACAGTTTGTAGCCACCATGTGGGTGCTGGGAATTGAACCTGGGTCCTCTGCAAGAGCAGTCAGTGCTCTTAACTGCTGAACCATCGCTCCAGCCCAGCATTCCATATTTTTATCCCCAGCAAGGAGACCATGGACAAAATGCCTAATGACAGTTACTATTGATGGTGGGCGATAGGCACAAGGTGGCTTGTTCTATTAGTTTCCAGTGAAACCTGACATTCTGTTTTTAAAAGGACAAAGATTTTAGAGAGAATGTTTCCGTTGCAAACTGAGTTGAAAATAGTCCAAAATGAACACATTTTTGTTAATAAGCTTTTTTTTTTTTTTTTGGTCTTTTTGAAACAGGGTCTCCCTGTAGCTCCAGCTGTCCTGGAGCTCACTATGTAGACCAGGAGAGCCTTGAACTCACAGAGATTCACCTGCCTCCGCCTCCAGAACACTGGGATTTAAAAGCATGAGCCACCACATCTGGCTTTTAAAGGATTTTTTTTTTCATGTCAATAACTTACTAGTTCATTCCTTGATATGCTAATTGACTTTTATTTGCAAATAAAGCAATATATCCTTTTTTTTTTTTTGAGACAGGGTCTCCCTGTAGCCCCAGCTGTCCTGGAACTCACTGTGTAGACCAGGCTGGCCTCGAACTCGCAGAGATCCGCCTGCCTCTGCCTCCTGAGTGCTGGGATTAAAGGCATGCGCCACGACACCCGGCTGCAATATATCTTTTAATATGATTATTTCAAACTAGTAATTATTTATGCACATAGATTAGAAGGCAAACTCAGTCATTAAAAAAATCATGTCGGAAGCATTTTGAGTCTAGATGATTCAGTGACTTGTACTATGATTCACAGCATAGGGAAAGAACTGGTATTACTTGTGCAGTTTGGAAATAACCCGTGGACCTCCGAGTAGAGCTCTTTAGTGCATAATCCTATGTTGATTATGAGAGCTTAAGCAGTCTTTAGTATTTCCGACTGCCTTGGTGCATGGCTAAGGAATGGGAGGGGCCTGGAAAGGCTGCCTGAGCCCACGGAGGGGACCTATCAGCCTCAGCCCAATTTGGTGCAGAGGTGAGGATAAATATAAAGGCTTGATTTGGCCCCTGATGGTGGAGCATTAAATTACCTTTCCTTAAAGGGTTACCTTGCCTCCCCTTTCTGGTCCATGCCTTTACTAGTAGGCTCAGACTTCATGGGCTCTGGGAGAGAACACTTTGGTCATACATGGCACCCTGTGTGTGGGGTCTGCTTCATTCATTTCCACTGTTAAAGGATAAATGTGTATTTTCAGAAACTGTGTAAGAAACCCATGACAAAATTTATCACCCAGGCCATTTCTAGGTGTAGGGTTTAGTAGCATTACCTCTATTTATTATGGAGCTTGTCTTCAGGACTTCCTCCTTGTCCAAACAAAACCTATACCCATTAAACAAGCTTTTTCCTTCTCCCCAGCCTGGAGCAACAGCCATTCCACTCTGTCTCTGTGAATGTGAGTCTTACTCTGGGTCCCTCACATAAGTAAAATCAGTGCTTGTCTTTTCTGACTTGCTTAGCAACAGCATATTCTCAAGATACATCTATGTTAAAGCATGCCAGAATTTGCCTTTTTTAAGACAGTGATACTGTTCCTTGTGTGCATGCCATGTTCATCCACTTACCTGCTGATGGGCACTTCATTGCTTCCACTTTTAGCTGATGTTCGTCGTCTTAGTTTTTTCATATTCTAAAACCAAGTCACTGATCTGTTCCTTGCACCTCTAGTTTTCAAATTAAGTTCTTTAAATGTGAAGCATTCTGCAGGCTGGGTATACCCTTTCAGATGGAAAGAAGTTTGGCACAGAGTCAGACATGGCTGGGTGTGGTGGCACACACTTGCATTCCCGGGAATGTAGAGGCAGGAGAATCACAAATTTGAAGCAGCCTGGGCTATATATTGAAAAAAAAAAAAAAGTCAACCTTGGACTCCACAGTCAGACCTGGGCTCCGGTCTGGGCTCTACTATTTACTATGTGACAAGTTATTGGTCATTCCAAGCATCAAGAAAGTGAGGATCCTGCCTGGTTTCCTGACTTGTAAGGTTAAAATCTGATCATGTGGCATAAAGAGCACTAGACACTGGATGTATTAACTAATCTGCCTCACTAGACATATTGGCCTTTCACAAGATCAGAACCCAACAAGCTCTGAACCTGGGCTCTTAAAATGTGTCCAATCTGAATTCTGAAAAATATTACAAATTCTCTAGGGGGACAGAGGGAACATTTCTGTATATAAACATCCTTTTCTCTTAAACACAGGTGTTGTAAAACAATAGGCACTTATACCACCTGGTGGCAGGCTATATAAATGTTCAATGGAAGTTAAAAAGTTGATATCAGGGGCTGGAGAAATAGCTCAGTTGGTTAAGAGCACTACTGCTTTTGCAGAGGACCAGAGTTTGATTCCCAGCACCCACATTGGGCAGCATACAACTCCAGTTCCAGGGGATCTGGCCTCTGTGGGCACTGTGCACATGTGCACCTACCATACATAGACATACATATACACATAAATTTAAAAAAAAAAATCTTTAAAAAAAATACTGGGCTGCATTCCGAAGGCAGAGGCAGGCGGCTCTCTGTGAGTTCAAGGCCAGCCTGGTCTACAAAGTGAGTTCCAAGACAGCTGGGGTTACAGAAAAACCCTGTCTCAAAAAGACCAAAAAAAAAAAAAATAAATAAATAAAAAATACTGGGCTGAACAGTATATTGGCTCAAATGAGTATTTGCATGTTTCTGAATATGCAGTGGTGGTTCCCAGCCATGACTGTACATCAAAGTCACCTGGTAGAATTTTTTTGTTTGTTCTTTTGAGACAGGGCATTCTAGGCTGGTCTTGAACTCTCTGTGTAGTAGAGGATGGCCCTGAACTTCTGATCCTCTTGCCTCCACCTCTTAAGTGCTAGGATTACAGCTGTATGCCACCATGCCCTGGATTTGGGGTGGGGGGGTGTCTTTTTGAGACAGTGTCTCCCTGTAGTACAGCTAGTCTAGAACTCATTATGTAGACCAGTCTGGCTTCAATTTCAGAGAGATCTGCCTCCTAAGTGCTGGGATTAAAGGTGAAAAAAAAAATTTTTTTTTTAGCTTCACAATAGATGGGAGGTGGCAGCTGTATCAGTAACAGTGATACAAAAACAGTACAGCTCTGGTGACCAGAGAGGACCACAAAGGCTGTTACCTGTCTGCCCAGGAAGATGGCCAAGGAACAGAGTGGACTGTGCTGCTGCGTGCATTCTCAAGGGAGAGCGTAGTGGAAGAGCTGTATAACGGAAGTGAAAGAAAAGAAGAAAAAAAAGTGACGTTTGTTGGCTGCTGCAGCACTTGCATACAGAGCTCTGCAGTAACCACCTGCACAGGAACTACTTTTCAAGAAAGGTGGCCACTCTCAACACTAGCCAAACTGAGGTAGGTATGCAGCTCAGCAGCAGGACCTCGGCACCTGCCGTGTCTTGGTTCAGCCTCATCTCCACAAGGCAACACCAACTGACAGAATCAAGCAACAACACTGCTCTTTCGGCATAGCTTTTATTTAAAGTAACATTTTCTTCAGGAGGGCAGACAGCTCACACTGGCTACTGCAATAAATCCAAAAAGTTTGTAAAATATTCTCATACAATAGAAATTGCCAAGGCACTTGTATTACAATCTCCAAATATTTTAAAAGGTAACACGATGTATAATTGATATTTAAAATGTTAAATCCCCCTGACAACACATGGAACAGCAAAGAACCTGAGAGAATGATACATCTGCCTCAATGATCTGTTGACAGCATAGTTTTCAAAAACAGAATTTAAGATTGTGAACTACATGACCCATCCTGAGTCCAGAGGCCTCCTGGTGGTTGTTATGTTAGGCTTCAATGGCCTTTTCCATAGGAAAGGACACATTTCAAGATGGCAACTGCTGTGTCATCATTTTCCCTTTATGGACTGTATCAGAAGTCTTTCAGCCCGGAATGCACTTCATTTCCTAAATGCTGTTTTCTCTCTTTCCATTAGATGGCAGTAGCTCACCATATTTCATCACACAAAGTCCACCTAGAAGGGAGGCTAAATTACAGGGAAGGCCCACAGCAGGCCAAGTTTCTCCAAGTCAAGTCAGTAGGATGCCAGAACTGCCAATGAAAATAAAGAAGAGCAATTCTAAAGGGATGGTCAGGTCAAAGCAGTGCTGGCTGGGAAAGTAAGGAGTGAATGGGGCAAGGAGAAAGGCATCAGTGAGATCCTGTTACACAGCCAAGTGAGCAGGAGTTTCCTCTTGATGGAGTCAAGGAAAAATAAGGCATTGACTTTTAACTAAAACCAGGGAATTTTATTGATATTCTTATTTATTTATTTACTTTATTATTTTTTATTTTATTGCCTGCATGTGTGTAAGTGCATGCCTATCATGCAATGCCCACAGAGGTCAGAAGAGGGTGCCAGATCCCCTGGAACTGGAGTTAGGGATGGTTAGCCACCATGTAGATCCTGGGATTCAAACCTGGGTCCTCTGCAAGAGCAGCCAGTGCTCTTAACTGCTAAGCGATCTCTCCAGCCCCAAACGGCATTTTAACAGGACATACTCATTTAAAAATCAACTGAAGAATGTCTTACGTTGTTCTGGATTAAATCTTAAGATACATCCAATCACAAAAGTCAATACTAACACTGGTAAACAGTCCAGATAATGAGTGAGGACTATTATACTATTAGAAACTGTTCTTTGCCATAGGTTCCCTGCCCACCTCCCCTTCCTGTGGCAGAGGCCAGTCAGTGAATACCAACACTCGCAAAGCAAAGCACAGTCTTCAAAGAGCAAAGAATAAAGGCTTTTCATGCAAACGGTTATTAAAGCACTTTGAATAACTTAAAAGGATTCTTGCACCCCAATTAGAGACTAGCACGTACATACGCTAAATTTCCTGTTATTTTTAAAAATATTTTATTATTTTTATTTTATGTGTATGAGTGTATTGCCTGCATGTACGTGAGCATACCCATGTCAAGCAATGCCACAGAGGTCAGAAGAGGGTGTCAGATTCCCCTGGAACTGGAGTTAAGGACGGTTTGTAGCCCCCATGTGGGTGCTGGGAATCGAATCCGGGTCCTCTGAAAGAGCCGTCAGTGCTCTTAACCGCTGAGCCACCTCTCTAGCCCCTGCCCCGTTATTTTATTCCCAATTTTAACATAGACAGCTCCAGTAGTTGGCATTTATTCTGATTTCAGCTATGGTGTGTGTGGGAATGAAATGTCATTTGCCTTTTTGTATTTTTGGACACCCTCTCTGTTGCCCAGGCTGGTTTTGAACTCCTGCCTCAGCCTTGTGGGTAGTTACCTGGATTTCAAGAGCCCTCTGTTCTCACAGATTTCAAACTAACCAGCTACCCAGATTTCAAGCTAACTCAGTACCCAGGAGCAGAGCAGTTTTATGAATAAGTTGTTTTATTTTATTTTAAATTTTATTTATTATTTTCATTTTATGTGTATGCGTGTATTGCCTACATGTAGGTAAGTGCACCCGTGTTGTGCAATGCCTGCGGAGGTCAGAAAAGGCTTTTGGATCTCCTGGGACTAGAGTTACAGACAGTTGTTAGCTGCCGTGTGGGTGCTGGGATTTGAACCCAGGTCTTCTGCAAGAACAACCAGTGTTCTTAACTGCTGAGACATCTCTCCAGCCCCTGAATAAGTTGTTTTAAAGGAGAAAAAGTAGACACAGTCCTATGGATGCTAAATTCAAAGCTTATAAGGATTCACCAAAAGACATTCTTTCTAGAAAAGATTCTGGGAGACAGAATTAACCCCAAAAATGAAGATTACAGAAAAATACTTTTATTAAGATAAAAATGACAAGAAGTCCAAGCATTCAAAGCTCAGTTCAGAGAACATACCTCACAGCTTCAGATCAGCTGGCCCAGGCTTAACAAGCCACTGGGGACACCCTACTGGGCCTAATTGTTTTTAGAACATGTGGCATTTTGTGCCACCACCCAGCTGTGAATTCCCTGGCTTTTGTCAGCTTGTGTCACAACCTAAGAAGAAATAGTAGCTTTAACACATTCCCTCACTGGCCTTCCACTAATTTACCATGTTTCTGCTTTTTATAACCTCCTACTCTACTGTGAAGTAACTGGACTATATATAAATTCTGCATTTCCTCTATTTTCAATCCTGTAAAAAAAAAATAGCATGACTTCCACAGAAAATATATGAAGGAAGCACAACCCTGGGCATACGGCAGAAGCTCAGTCTTTAAAGACAACACATCAGGCCTGCTTTCAAATGCTATTTTATCACATAGTCATCAGAGTTGCTGGGTGTGGGCCCAAAATCATGACATACACCAAGAAAAAGTTTACAAAGCTTGCAGCATTTGTTAAAGATAACTGCTCTATTTCCTTTGCAGATTAGGTTAAATAAGGCTTCACTACTAGAATGATGAACTAAAAATAAGTTTAACACAGTGAATAATGCACATATAAAAGATAATAAATATTTGTTGAATGGAATTGGAACTATGGATGCTGGAAATAAAAAAGAAAAATCCTTGTACTAAGATAGCTATATGATCCAAAACAAATCTATTAATACTTTGAAAACAAAATAGCCTTGATTAATAAAGTCCTTGAGCTCCAATGAGAAAAAGTTCCTTCCAACTTTTTAAAACAAAAGATCCCACAACCATTTGACCCCAAAAGAACCAAAAATCTTACTAACCTCTTAAGTTATAATAGTCAAATGATAACTGCTAAGTAGATAGGGATCTTCCTTTAAAAAAAAAAAATCACCCAAATTAGTTTTTGCCTATTTGAAGAAAGCTGTAAAAGTTAACTTTCCATTGAGGGCAGACAGCACATTTGCCTCAGGACTACTTTTGAGAACCAATTTATAAACTCCAGAGCAGGAAGCATCCAGTTCTAATTACAGACCACTTGCCACAGCATCTTCTCACAGTTTGCCATTTCCATGGGCTTTTTCATAATAAATAAATCGGCAATATAAGTTCATAATAAATCACAAAGAAAAAAATATAATGACATAATATCATAAAGAGCAGCAGAGACAAGCTTGATGTCTTTTAAAATACTTCTGTATGGTGCAAATTGGTATGCCCTGTACAGAAGGGGAAAATCGTTCCAGACTAGTGACTCAGTTCATATAATTGGATTCCCAAAGTTGTTTATAAAAAATACTAAGCAAATCTAATTTTAGAGAGAAAACGTAAAGGTGATTCCATGGCACCTATAATGCACAGAAAACAAAGGTGTGAAGTTCTATGTAACTATCCAGTAACAAAACAGTTGTTGAGTTCTGTAGATTTTTAGAATAAAAAAATCAGAAATAAAATCTTGGGGGCATATTTTATTCTGTAATTCAAAATTATAAGAAGGATGACACTGCTTAATTAGATTGGTAATTCTTCTATCAGGGACATCTTCCATCTGGCTTTTGCTTGTATTACTGATTTGATGAAAAACGATGAGAAAGTCCGTAGAGACTGAGAAAGCAAAGACTTTTCTTAGAAAGGCTGACCAACAAAATAATCCTTTGGCCAAACCCTAACGTAAAAGTCACACAGGCCAGAGCTGCATCAGGACATTGGAGGAAGAAAACACCTTTCTTGTCTACTGTTGGCACTTTCACTGTGCATCCACTTCCCCACAGGGGCTTGCAATGCACATTCTGCCAGTGTACAAAACCCCATGTGCCAAGTGGTCTGCTGTTTGGAGAGACCAGGCGCTCTAGAGAACAGCCAGTACTGCTGGAGAACTTCAGTGCTCCTCTACGCCAGACTTACCTTTCCTGAGGGTCACAGCCCAAACAGAACTCCCTACTCCAGGAAGGAGGCAACAAGTACGTTACACTTTCTTATAGTATAGCTACTCGGCAAGCAGGGAAAGAACAGATCAGAAACCGAGTGTCGAGGGATGGATTCAAGTCCACAGACTGCCTGACTTCTAGATGACAACTCACACACTGCAGCAGGCAGAAGAGCCCCTTGTCCACCGAAATGCTGGCTGGGTGTTGCTGTCCTCTTAGGTGCCAGGGCTCTCAATGGCTGAATCTTAGTGAAGCTTGTGCACAGGGTAGAGTAGGGTCATGTGTTCTGCCCCTTTGAAGGGCAATTTTTCACTGGAATAATAGTATACCACTTCAGGGATGCTGTCAAACACAGCACTCGTCTGATTCAGTGTGTATTTGTTGTCTTTCGTCTGAGCCACTATGATGTGGACACATCCTTGACTAGTCCTGGAGCAAAAACACCAAGGAGAAGACATGAATGAGTGAGCAGGGGATCGGTCCCCACTGGAAACAATCCCAGCCAGATTCACAATAAGTGGATGGGTCCTCTTCCATTCCTGGAATTGTTCTTTACAAGCAAAAATTTATTCAACACTCCAGTGATGTGTTCGGAAGTTTCACAGTCTAAATGCACAGCATCCTGACTTTTTGTTACACAGGAGTGATCAGGGAAAAAAGCCAAGTCCCTTCTATTGCCCAAACTGTAAAACTAGCACAAGCTCAAGCCTACAGCTGTGAGGTAAGGGTTATGTTCAATCTCCTCTCTGCTGCTAGGAGGATATGTGGGGTTACTTCTGCTTTTATTTTTCCCAAAAGGAACACATTAATAATAATAACAGTAACTGTCCGTCTGCTCCTCCCCTGTGGAAAGACCATTCCTGGTTGTATATAATGAGAGCTGGCACTGAAGGCTCAAAGATGCAATCCACAAGCACCACTTTCAGGAGCACAGTTACTGTTCCTGGCATTGTCTGTGTGGCCTATCCCATTTTCTGAGCCACACGGCCCTGGTGCCCCTCCCCCTCCTTTCCCCTCCAGTCTGATTGTTTCAGCTGCAGGGGCTCAGCTTCCTCAGGAAGGAAATGCTGTTAGGACTCTTGACAATGATCTTCCAATAGAGTGCCACTGAATTCACAGAGCAATGAGAATTTCCATGATACACATTCTGCCAAGCCCACCAGGCAAAAGTGAATTTTCTGTGCACAATTAGACAGAGGGAGTGACAGGCAAGTCAGCATTTCCTCTTTCAGCAGAAGGGACCAGTACCAGAATTGTAGTTGGCATTTTGACAGTAAACGGATTCAATGCTTATTAAGGTTCCTAATGCTAGGGAATAAAAGAAATGACTGAGGCACAGTCCTGTAATTCTAGCACTTGGGAGCCAGAGGCAGGAGGATTACTCTAAGTTCTAGGCCAGGGCTACATGGTGAGACCCTGCCTCAAAACGAAACCAAACCGAAACAAAACAAAACAAAACAGAAGCGATTGAACTGTCCTGTTAGAAGTTATTATTCACTTTTTATTTTATTTTTTCTTCTGCCATGTTTGGGAATAAACTTAGGGCCTCCTGTATGCTGGACAAGCACTCTACCATTGAGCTACAGCCCTAACCCAGACACTATTTTTTTTTCTTTTTTTTGGTCTTTTTGAAGCAGGGTCTCCCTGTAGCCCCAGCTGTCCTGGAACTCACTATGTAGATCAGGTTGGCCTTGAACTCACAGAGATCCGCCTGCCTCTGACTCCCAAGTGCTGGGACTACCGGCGTGCTCTTTTTATCAGGAATTGTTTCTCTGCTGAGGGGCCTTACTGTAGATCAGGTAATATAAGGCTGAAATAGACTAATGCACAACGATAGTGACATGGGACCATCGCATTTATAACAGACACCAGGACTTTACCTGACAGCAACTCTGCATCCTGATCACAGTGTTTCACCTTCTGTTGTCCAAGCAAATGCGTTTTCTTTTCTGGCAATACATGCCCCTATGAACCACTTTCAAATTACACCTTTTTTGACTGGCTGCCTATCTACCCCTGGTAGGAAAGACTCTAAGAGCATACCAACAGAAAAGCCCATGGGGTGGTAATACTTACTTCAGTGCAATGGAGTACCTGCTGTTCCCTGACTCACTATTTCGGACCAGATAACCAGCTTCTTTGCAGGGTTGCAGTCGGCTCTCAGCCTCAGCCCGAGTAATGGTGCCATGATACCAACTGAACAGGGGTAGAGAAGAAAAAAGTGCATGACAAACATAGTACCCATCCAGACTGGGCATCACTCCATAAAGCATAGTTTGAAAGGAGCTTCTAGAAGCAGCTCAACAGCCTGAACTACATCCTTCTTCACATTCAGAATAGACACAATGCAGATTCCCATGATCCTGGGTCACAAAGCCTTTCAATCATACAGGACCAAGTCAACGGGCTACTGTCACTTGAAAAGCTTCCCTCTGTATGAGAGAATGAGGCTTAAAACATGGTTCTTGGCTACAGCATTTTGCCATTCAGCACAAATGCACTGTGCTCAGAAGATGGCTTTCATGAATAAGCTCCATTCAGACAAGTACTCATGAACAAAAGTGATCATGCCAAATGGGCCAGGGGCCCCACCCCACTTGAGGCTGTCCCGGGGTCAGTGAGGGAGACTCACGGCTGCTTTTCCAGGGGAAGACCTGGGTCCACCTTCTCGCCCTCGCCGTGGTCTGACAGGCTTGGCTTCAAGATCTTCTGGGTCCAGCTCTTCTGCCGGTGGTGCTGCCTCACTGTCTCCTCCTTGCTGGGAGGTCGCTCAGATCCTTCAAACTGGACTGGAAGGAAGACTTCATTTGACACCAGACACTATGGAGGTCATTTGCATAAATTTCAAAGGGAAAAACCTCTTGCCTGCCTTAGCTCAGGGAAGACACACGTTTTTCCTTAAAGGTGAGCTCTAATGTGCTACAGTGCTCCTGGCCAGCTGTGCTCCTGCTGTCTGAGATCCAATTTCACTTTTAGTATCCTACTTGTACCCACTCTCCTTATCAGCATAAAACAGTTTCAGAACACAAAAGCAAACTAATATACTTGAGCATAAACTTTGATTCTAAAAATGCTAAAGCTGGAGTTCTTAAAAGACTAAGAATGTATTTAGTAAATCCTTGAAAGAGTATATTTATTTCTATAAAACCATGGACAATTTTCACTATGAAATAATAAAACAAAAAGAAAACACACTCAGGAACAGAACGAAGCCATGAAATAATACCTTAATGATGATGAGACACCTAGTCTGGGCAGAACAGAGTCTGTATAGCCATGCACAGCACAGGACTAAGACAGTGGCAGGCATCTAATAGAGATTTATTGAAAAGAAGACTAAAATCACATTAAAACAGCAGACATTTGATTGTTTCAGTGTTATACATGTTTGTTACCAAATATATTCTTTTTTCATTTATATTGGCTCCCCTTTTAAAAAATATTTTATTTTACGTGTACGAATATATTGCCTGCATATATGTAAGCGCACCAGTGTCGTGCATTGCTCACGGAGTTCAGAAGAGGGCAACTGACTCCCCTGGAATTGGAGTTAAGGACAGTTGTTAGCTGCCATGTGGGTCCTGGGACTCAAACCCGGGTCCTTTGAAAGAGCAGCCAGTGCTCTTAACTGCTGAACCATCTCTCCAGCCCCACCTCTTTTTTTTTTTTTTTTTTTTTTTTTTTTTTTGAGATAAGGTCTCATACCGCCCAAGCTAACCTAGAATTTTCCATCCTCCTGTGTCTACAGACAGTGCTGGAATAACAGGTATGTACCACCACACCCGCAAACTGTACTTTTAGTTGGGAGCCTGAATCTACATTTTTTAAAAATTATTTTTTATTTTATGTGAATGAGTATATTGCCTGCATGTATGTAAGTGCGCATGTGTCATGAAATGCCTGCAGAGGGCAGAAGAGGGCATCAGATTCCCTGGAAGTGGAGTTACAGATGGTTGTTAGTCATCATGTTGGTGTTCTTCTGCAAAAGCAGCCAGTGCTCTTAACTGCTGAGCCATCTCTCCAGCCCCTGGATTTACTGTTAAAGGGCAAAGATATCTTGAAAATTCTAAACCAAAGGCAAAAAGAATCCTGAGGAAGCTAAGTGGAAAAGCTATGTCATGGGAGCTGCAGGAGCTGCCTTTAACCTATTTTATTCAGTCCTGTTAATTCACAATCAAGGATTTAAAAGGCTTGAAAAGTAGTAACAAGAATTAGAAAAATCTCTTTCCAGTTTGATAGCTTCAGTGATGGGGAAATACGCACATGGTGATGGAGCAGGTTTTTTCCAATAGCACTTTAGGTATCACCAAACAGCTGCAACATTGAAAAGATAAAGGAAACCAAAGATACCCACGAAGGTAGAAAAATGTGAGGGTTTTTTTTTTGTTTGTTTTTTAGGGGAGGTCTCCCTGTAGCCCCAGCTGGACTAGAACTCACTATGTAGACCAGGCTGGCCTTGAACTCATAGGGATCTGCCTGCCTCTGCCTCCCAAGTCCTTGGCACTAAAGGTGTGTGCCACTACAGCCGGCTAAAAACTGTGCAATTTTTTTCATATTTTATTATTTTTATTTTATGCGTATGATTGTACTGCCTCATGTATGTGAGTGCACCCATGTCGTGCAATGCCGCGGAGGACAGAAGAGGGCTTCAGAGTCCCCTGGAACTGGAGTTAAGGATGGTTGGTAGTTGCCGTGTGGGTGCTGGGAATAGAACCCGGGTCCTCTGCAAGAGCAGTCAGTGCTCTTAACCGCTGAGCCATCTCTCCAGCCCCCAAAATGTGCAATTTTAAGGGCACAGTTTCAGCTTTGTCTTTGTTTTGTTTAGACAGGACAGCATGTAGCCAGGCTGGCTTTGAACCTTGATTTTCCCACCTCTGCCTTCCAAGTCCTGGGATTACAAGCATGCACCACCACACCCTACCCAAAGATTCTTATTTCTCTACCTCAAATGCTTTGTAAAAAAGAGATGTGTGGGCTGGCAAGATGGTTCAGGGTAAAGATGCCTAACAACCTAAGCTCAATCCCACATGGTAGAAGGAGAAAACTGACTTCCACAGGTTGTCCTTTGACCTCTACCTGTTTACCATACCACATATGGGCCCACACACATACATGCACTCAAATAAATGTGATAAAAATGAGAGACTTGTAGTGAGGAAAATGAAGAAAACATACTTGATGCACCATTCAAAATCATCTCGACAGTTGTTTTTTGGAGTGGGGGATTGAGACAGGGTCTCCCTCTAGCCCCAGCTGGCCTGGAACTCACCATGTAGACCAGGCTGGCCTCAATCTCACAGAGATCCGCCTGCCTCTTCCTGACAATTTTGAAATGTACTCTCAGTATTATGCCCTTTTACTAGGTCATCAAAGGAGCTACACATGTTAACCATCCTTTCCCTCCTCTCCTTCTTAGCTTCTGAACCAGCAGTCCACTCTGGATTTCTGAGGATATTTACAGATTGCGCTCCTGGGTGAGCTCATGCTGGGCGATGGATATGTTAGCTACCCTGACTTGCTTGTTATTCAGCATATACGCCTGTGCCCAGGGCACCTGTCTAGTTGCTCTGTGTCAGCTGTGAGAAGGTAGGCAGTGCTAGGATGAAAAGGGCTTGGGGCAGGTGCTGAGCTCTCACCTGACAGGGCACGGGCAATCTGCTCCCTCTTCCACTCCCAGGGCTGCTCATATTCAGCTGCTGGTCGATCATCGTCCTCTGGTAGCCTGCTGTCTGCTGGTCGCACCTTCGTCTCTGCTGCCCATGGACCACCCTCCGGGGGCTCATAGGGGGTGTCATAGAGCTGTGGCTGCTTCCCCAGAAGATCCTTGGAATTGCGTCTCTTGGCAGCAGCCTCTACCTTTCCACTCTCTCCTGGCTCACATGGACCATCCAGCAGCTGGAGAGCCTTTACCAGCGGGTCTTTGGAACCTCGGCGTCGGATTTCTGAAAATCAGACATACAGGTCACTTGAAGCACCTCAAAAGGATGGGTGCCATGAGGCCAGCAGGTAACCCAGTTACTCCTACTGGTGGAAGGCAGCAGAATGCTCCAAACTGTTCCGGAATGGATTGATTGCCTTCCAGCTGAGCTACAGAAACAAAAGGAAGGTACCAGAACCTCCTTGACCATCATACAATGTACACATATACTGAAACATCACTGTCCTCAGCCAGTTGCTCTGTGTCAATTCTGAAAACACAAGTTTAAGAAAAATGCCTTGGCAGCACAGTCAAATGGGTTGGACCTAAGAGGAGGGTTATACCTGAAGGGAGGAGGCCTCCAGGGCCCTGCAGGGAGCTGGCAAGGAGGGCCTAGGGGAGCCAGTATCAACTTTCTCGCCATAGTGCCTGCTCAGAGTGAAGTTTACCATTAGTGTGTTTGTTTTTGTTTTTTTTTGTTTTTTTGTTTTTTTTTTTTTGGTCTTTTTGAGGCAAGGTCTCCCTGTAGCCCCAGCTGTCCTGGAACTCAGTATGTAAACCAGGCTGCCCTTGGATCTCACAGAGATCTGCCTGCCTCTGCCTCCCGAGTGCTGGGATTAAAGGTGTGTGCCACCATGCCCAGCTACACGATTAGTTTTTATAATACATCTTCTTAGGAAGCCCAGACTAAACTATTTCAAAGAAAATCAGCTGTTTATGATACTGTGGACATTGCTTTAAATATCCCAGGGAAGAGCTACCCAGAGTTCTTTTCTATGTTTTTGAGACACAGTCTCACTGTATAGCCTAGGTTGGCCTGGAACTTGTTATGTAGACCAGGCTGGCCTCAAATTCACAAAGATCCTCCTGCTTCTGCCTCCCAAGTGAATGCTGGGACTAAAGGTGTATGCCACTATGCCCAACTTTAGTTAAGAATTCTTCCAGACAGTTTCAGTCCAACAGGGAAGCCAGTTACATTCATAAACGATGCTCTGGCTAACAACTACAGGATAAATCCAAGTAAAAGGTGTCATGATGGAAAACAAAATACGCCAACATATCTGTGCCTTCCTTAAGGACTATTCTCAGTGCTATAATTTTCAGTTACTCTATGAGATGGATGCTACGTGAGGGAAACCTCATGTAAAGAACTGAAGCACATACAGCTTAAGGAAATGACCCAGACCAGTTGGTGGCAGAGCCTGGAGTGGAAAGCAGGAAGCTGGGTGCTAAAAGCCATACTTTGACACTAAACTTGGATGGATTCCAAGTGGAAGAGAAATGGAAGATGAGCTGACTCTGATAGAGAAGGTCATTTCCAGTGGAGGGCTAGGGAGACATACAGGGCTCATTTCCTCCAGAGGAACTGAGAGGAAAGTTTAAAGGCCAGAAGTCCAAAGAGGAGGTAGTGTGAGATGTTAGCTGGAAAAGGAGGCAAGCAGGGAGAAAGCAAGGTTTAGAGTTTACTGTTTCTTTGGTCTTTTTTGTTGCTGTTGTTTTGGGGCTTTTTTTGTTGTTTGAGACACAATCTCTAGTAGCTTGGCTAAAAATTGCCTTGAATTCCTGGACCCTCCTGCCTCAGTAGTCTGAGTGTTAGGATTACATGTATGTCAATCACCTGAAAAGCAGACTTGTTTTAAAAGCAAGGACAAGAAGTTTGGATTGCTTTGTTTTGTCTGCAGCATAAAACCACTTTTTTTTTTTTTTTTTTGAAGACAGGATCTCCCTGAAGGCCTGACTGGCCTGGAACTCACATTGTAGACCAGGCTGACCTTGATCTCACAGAGATCTGTCTCTGCCTCCAGTGTCCTGAGATTAAAGGTGTGTGCCACCATGCCTGGCCCATCAAAAGTCTTTTGACTGGGAATAACAATTATAATCTGTGATTCACTTGATCATAACTAGTCAGTGTCTAGGATAGAGGAAGTCAGAAAGATCTGGCCTGAAGTGAGGCGCTGAAGTGTAAAATAAAACCCTGATGTAAGCCGGGCATGGTGGCGCATACCTGTAGTCCCAGCACTTGGGAGGCAGAGGCAGGCGGATCTCTGTGAGTTCAAGGCCAGCCAGCCTGATCTACATAAGTGAGTTCCAGGACAGCTGGGGCTACAGGGAGACCCTGTCTCAAAAAAAATAAAACAAAACAAAACAAAAAAACACCCTGATGTAAACCAGCTCATTAATAGCTAACCAGCCAGTCACTGTGGGATGGAATGGGAAGTGTCTGAGGACTGACCAGTCCAGAACTAGGGACCTTACCAGGCTAAGCTAGACTTAAGTGTGAGCAACCAGAACTGGCAGTATAGACCCACAGAAGCCTCTTGATGGTCTTCTATACCCCATCCCCCGACAGGCCTTCAACATATTCTCCATGAGTCACAGTCAGGGACCTCTCCAGACACAAATACCTGCCTCACTACTTAATGCCTCATAAGCCCTCAATTGTCTACTTCCAAAGTGTAAGTGGCCTGGGATGGCATGTGGGAGGGTCTTCTCTGACCAGGTCACTTTTGCCCCAGTTTCTTCTCTCACTATCCTGCCCATCTCCCATAAGCCAACTCTTTGCTCTGACCAAACAGAACTTCTGAAGTTCTCTGTATATTATACTCTTACATCTACCAGCATCTGGGGTCTTTCAGTCTATGGAAGTCTAAGAACTCAGCATCTCCTCTCTGTGGGAAGCTTCTCCCATGTACCTGGCCCTCTGATGCCTCCAGAGTTCACCTACTGCCATGGGAGCCCCATCTACTCTTGCCTTGTTCTTTTCCCACGGTGTGGACTTGTCTTTGACATGTCTATTTCCAACTTGGTAGAGATGGCTCAGATAGGGACCACCATGGCTTAATTATATTGGCAGGACACACAGCTGTGCTAAGTAATGATGGAATGGATGGATGGATGGATGGATGGATGGATGGATGGGTGGGAAGAGAGCGCTAGAGTGTCTCCAGAAAGGAAACGTGTGGACCTGCGCATGTATCAAGGAAGATTTGTTAATACTGTGAGAATAAAAGCAATTGTTGGAGAAAAGGCCAAGAGATTGAAACGGCAAGAGAGTCAGAGGCAGAATTTGGGATTCTAGTTAGGGGTGGCTGGCAGAAAGGAGGGTCAACAAGGAAGGCTAAGAAGGAATAGTAAGACAAGCAAGAAGGGGGTCAGAAGACTGCAATGCTGTGGGAACAAAGGGTAGAAGGACTTTTCAAAGCAGGCAGGGTGATGTTCCCTGAAGAGTCACTGACTCAGTAAGACTTCTATAACAAAGAAAGGACGGCAGATGGAGGGAGTTATTCAAAAGACTTGGAACTCAAAAGGGCAAACTTTTTCTAAGGTGAGATTTTGGTTCTATGGGATTAGGGCCCCTATCAGCAACTGCCTCCAGTTCCATGTTCACTGAACTTGCCTGGCAAGCTATGCTGACTGGCTGACTGTCTAGAAGGCCTCACCTCCACAGGTCCTGATTCCACTGGTGGGTCCCGCCTGGAAGTCAGATGATACAAACTCCTAGGATATTCTAATAAGCAGTATAACTTGAGGACATTTCTATACCCACTTCTTCCTGCTCTCTGGGGCTAATCTCTCTTGGCCTCATCCCCACGGAGAAGAGCACTTCAGAACATGATGCTGTGAAGGTAGCTGATAGGACTGTTCCTTGCTCACCCCATGCCAGGCTAGAGGCCCAGGCTGCATCTTCTATCCTAGTCTCTTGACTTTCAAGCCCAAAGCTTTTTTCCTGCATTGCCTATGATGGAGCTATGAAAAACAAGCAACAAAAACAAATGCTGTTCTTGGTTTGGTTAAGATAAGGCTGGCATTTTAAAAAAGAACTTTTCTAAAGGAAACAGAACACACAAAGGAATCCAGAGGATGGATTTAGAATTTTTAGGTTTTTAATCAGAACTTGTTTATGCTCATTTTGGAAGTCTTCCCCAAGATCCTGGCTTCAACTTTGCCCCAGGGAAACTGTATGAAGTCAAAGGAGGAAGACTGATCTGGCCTTAAGGTAGAAGTCCTGCGTACTAGGAAATTTCAATACATTTGCACACAGGAGGTAGAATGGTTGGGATCTCAAATCATTACATCTATTTCAAATTTTCTTTTGCCATGGGGTCCTCCTGTTCCCTTAATTTCAAATAGTCTAGGAGCTAACTGGAAAGCACACAACTGACAATACTCTTTCCTTGCACGGCTCTGGAACTGGGAGAAACTGTTAAAGGATCTTTCGAAATAATGCTTAACGAGGTGGAAAAGACCCTGGACACCCCCCCCCAACACCTCCAGGGCAGTAAGTAACCTTTCAGTCCATTCCAACACCTGAATGTCCTCAACCTGAGGCGCCATAGAAACAGAAACAATCGAAGGGCTACAAGCCGACTCTTCCTGCAGGGAGAATAGCCCCTGACGTGCAGAGTTGGCTCCAAGAGGAAATGAGCCTGAGAAGAGGGAAATGGCAAAAGGAAGCTACACCCTGGCTGCGATAGAGGCCATTTACCGTGGCAGACAACAGAGTGCAGCAGATAAACACTCACTGCAGCCACGGGAGACCCAGGGCTGCCCTGAACCAATGGAAATCGCAACTGGTTGGTACAAATAACAGGCTGGAAAATTTCTCTTCTAAATCCTCTTTTTGCATCAGACATAATTATGCCATTCACATTAAAACACAAGGCAGAGGACTAGCATCATTTTAAATGAACTATTGACAGCTTGGTTTTGTTTCTGTGGCAATGCCTCACTCCTACAGGTGGGCTTCTAACTTGTGATTCTCCTGCCTCAGCTTCCCAAGGACTGGGGTCACAGGTGTGAGCTACCATATTCAGCAACAAACTTAATTGCTATTATCACTCTAGATTTATCTAGAATTCTCCTTGAAAATGGGATTCTTTCTCAAGTGTCTAAACTGACTGTTGGGTGTGTTGTACCCAGGATCTCACAGAAGCCTTGGAGCATACTGACAGGTGTTAAGCCTTTGTCACGCAGGGAACTTGCCGGGAGCATATGCTTCATCTACCATATCATACTTTGTATGTG